GGATAGTTACATTCGTGAGGTTTCAACTGTCTTGATGCGTATGCCACGACTTTTCCGTCTTGCATGAGTACACATCCCAAGCCATTATGAGATGCGTCACTAAAGATTGTGTAGTCTACACCTGGTACTGGTTGGGTCAGCACAGGTGCTTCTGTCAGACATTTCTTTAGTTTCTCAAAGCTTTGCTGACATGCATCGGTCCATACAAATTTCACATCTTTTCTCAGAAGTTTGTTAAGTGGAGTTGCGATCGAGGAAAAGCCTTCAACGAATCGTCGATAGTATCCAGCTAATCCAAGAAAGCTTCTCACTTCACGAACATTCCTTGGAACCTTCCACTCGGTGATGGCAGATATTTTACTAGGGTCTACCTTAACACCTTCTTGAGAAATCACATGTCCCAAAAACGTAACTTCATTAAGCCAACATTCACACTTTGACAGTTTGGCATATAGTTTATGTTCCCGTAGTATGCTGAGTACTATCTCCAAATGTTTCACATGGTCTTCTCGATTCTTCGAATAGACAAGAATATCATCGATGTATACAACCACGAATTGATCAAGATAAGGTCGGAATACACTATTCATGAGATCCATGAATACTGCTGGAGCATTGGTCAAACCAAAGGGCATTACCGTAAACTCATAATGACCATAACGGGTACGGAACGCAGTCTTTGGGATGTCCTCTTTCTTTACAGGGATTTGATGGTATCCTGACCGTAAGTCAATCTTAGAAAATACAGTGGATCCTCTAAGCTGATCAAATAAGTCATCGATACGAGGTAAAGGATATCGATTTTTGATTGTGACTTTGTTCAATTGACGATAATCGATGCAGAGTCTCATCGAGCCATCTTTCTTTTTGACAAACAGGACGGGTGCTCCCCAAGGGGAAACACTCGGACATATGAATCCTTTATCGAGTAGTTCTTGTAGTTGAGCCTTCAACTCTTTCATTTCAGCAGGAGCCATGCGATAGGGAGTTGCAGATATCGGTCCTGTTCCAGGAACAAGATCGATGGAAAATTCTACTTCTCTGGAAGATGGTATACCAGGAAGTTCGTCAGGAAATACGTCAGGAAAACCACATACTGTCGGTATGTCTTTCAACTCAGGAGTTTCCTTTCGTGTGTCACGTACGTTACACAGATAAGCTTCACATTTCTTTCGAATGAGACGCCTAGCGTGTATGTACGAGATGAATTCAGTGGATCTAGGTGTCAGATTCTCTTTCACCTCTATAGACTTTCCCTCTCCAGACTTTAGTTGAATTGCTCGTCGTCGGCAATCGATAATTGCTTGGTGTTTGGTGAGCCAATCCATTCCGAGGATGATGTCAAATTCTTTGTACGGTAATTCGACAAGATTGGCAGAGAACTGATGTCCTTCAACAATCAATGGACAGTCTTGATACACATGAACTAACCTCATACTATGTCCTAACGGGTTAGACACTAGTATAGGTTGTTCCAATTGTTCTTTCATTATGTCAGCTTTTTCAGGCATATGTACACAGATATAAGACAACGTTGATCCAGGGTCTATCAACACATGCATGACAGTATCAAATAAGGAAAACATACCCTGAATGACGTCAGGGTTTTCCTCAGCTCGTGCCTCCATTGCATAAGTACGAGCAGGAGCTCGTCCCTGTTGCTGACTCTGGTTTTTGGCCGGATTAAATCCCGCCGTTGATCGTTGACTTGGCGCAGGTCGTGCTGATGCTGATTGGCTGACAACTGGGGCTGTCGGAAATGGTTTGCCAGGATTAGTGGGGCAATCTCTTCGAAAATGTCCAGGTTTGCCGCAACCTAGACATAATCCTTGGGCAAGCCAACACTCGCCTGGATGATGTCTCCCACATGTATCGCACAATGGGTGTTTCCACCCTTTTGATTTGTTTTCTGATGCCACAGAGTGCGTCTGCAACGATTTCCCCTTCTTTGAGAAGTGTGAATTGCTAGATTCCTGGAAGGGCCTTTTTCCTTTTGAGATAGAGCTGATGGGACGGTGAGTGCTTGAACTGACATTATTTGTCTTCAGTTACTCAATGCAAGCACTCAAGTCGCTGTCTGCCCTGGCTATGAGATCATAGGCCTCCGCGAAATCCACGGTGGTTAGGACGGACACACGCGACCTAAGGTCAGGTCGAAGTTTCTTCCTGAATTCTTCGATGCGATCGGTTGTGGTACTCACCAAGGTTGGTGCAAACTTAGCAAGACTGGTAAACTTCTGACGATACTCGGGGAGTGTCATGTCTCCCTGTTGCAATTCGACAAATTCCTTACGTCTTTCTTCGCTAAAACGTTTTGGAATATATTCTTGTTTGAATGCCCATTCGAAATGTGCCCATGTCCATGGCTTAGGGGTTCCCGCACTCTCATCGGTCCTCTTCCACCACTCGTAGGCTTCCTTGCAAAGCAGCTGAGATGCCAATCGGGGATAGTTGCCAACGGGTACATTAAGATCCTCCAACACTCGAGCAGTCTGCTCGATCCAGTCCCATGCAATTTGGGGTTCACCGATGCGATCCCCAAGGAATAATTCTGCACCGTTATCCCTTAATGTTTTGTAGGTTATCACTCGTGGTGGCGGTGGTGGAGGTGGTTGAAACATTGGTGCGTTGGCTATCTGTTGTAATACATTTGCCAGGAATGTGGGAATCACAAGGTTGGGTTGACCATCAGCGTTCGGGTTATTCCCAACATTTTGTTGATTGACGGGTTCATTTTGGA